ATTCAACAGAAAATGGCAAGTAACCTTCCAATCTTACAAAGAACTGACTATATTAAGGTCATACATTAGATTCAAAGTTGAGAGCCTGTGATGCAAGGGAAAAGAAAAATGTACTGATCACCCAGTTTCATGCCTTGAGCATGTCCAAAATTTTACTCAAAAGTAAATTCATTAAACATAAGTGGCCCTTATTACTGTAAGAGCCTTGCGATGCTGGAGTGATTCTTGTTCTGTTTTATAAATAGGAAAAGGAGTAATAGAAACGAAAATGTCTTGTCAGACATTACAAAGTTGTTTCTACTTACTTGAACAAGCTCTTATTTGCCAAACTATTGTCCTGGACCTTTGCTAGAATTACATGACTCTTCAGCTTTGTCTGCCCTCAGGGAGGGCTGGAGATCACAGCTCTACACCAGAAGGCAAACAAAAGAACTCTTGGCAGTAAGGAGTGGTCATACACACCAAAACACTTCTAACTTTCTCAGGTAGGTGCTAGAAGTCTTGGCATCCAGAAAGTAGCATAACACTTCTCTCACCAGTTAGAATTTCCATCCTGAGTTGCAATTCAAAAGCAATGTTGTTAGGTGTCACCTTTCCTTCCCTCCTGCATCATAAAGTTACACTATCATAAAACTGCTCCAAGGAGCTGTGCAGCCGATTCCTACCCTAATTGATCTGTGCTATGTTAATCTTCTTGATTAGTTTGTGGATTTTCCAAATAGTTTTTTGAGTTGAATTGATGTTTTCTTGACTGGTGAAAAAATATGTTGCTGCTGGCATGAATGGACACTGATGCCGGTTTACAGATCAGGCATGTGATAACACGAATTAATGTAATGCAAGTGCTGCCAGGAAATAAAGAGTAGTCATCCCCAGTAGGCTTCAGCACATCAAACCTCTGCTTTAGGCTTCCACAGAGCTTTTAGCCCAGATAGGCTACTAAATCATATATACTGACATGCTGTGTATCACAGTCCATTATAGTAACAAAGTTGCCCTCTTAGTTTAAGTGGTGATCGCTTGGGTTAGGCAAATTCCTCCAGACACCAGGGTGCTTCCACCACAGAAAGAAAAAGCCACAGAAGACCATGTTCTTATGTCCCAAATCTGTGTGTCCTGTAAGGGCATACTCTCAAACCTCTGTCACAACAAAGGAACAAACCAGCAAGAGAGAACAGGCCAAGGTGACCTTTGCCACAAAGGAAATAAACATCTCTAATCCTTACTGCTAACAGACTAGAAGAAAATTTGCCAAATCATCTCCAATTCTGCTGAATGATCACTGACCCTGGGATGAAGACAGTGAGCATCATCATGACATGATGAGGATTTCACAATTGTCTGACAATTTCCTGCCATACATCAGAACACCAATTTGTCTTGTGCCGTTTACACAACCTTAAATACATCACAAGAAAACAGCATGAAGTCCCCTTCAGAGTATATTAGGGTAGTTGTATATGAATTGCAAGAGAAAAATCACTACAGTCACTGTGATGATCTGCAACTGTGATAGATCAGTTGAATATAAAACAACATATAACTTCTGTTGTTTCTTGGCACATGAACAAGGGAAATCAAGGAGTTGAGACATTTAGTCTCCGGACGAGAAGACCACATTATAAGGGGCAAAGTCCAATTTCTATGTGTCTAAAAATTCAGTGTATCCTGAAAAATAGCTGCAGAGATCTTTCAGAAAAGTAGCTATTTAAAAGCTATATGAGATTCATTTATGGAATAATGCTAAACTTTCCTAAATGCTATAATGAGCATAGAACAATATCCAATAATTAACATAGGAGTTTTGATTGAAAATACATTTTATATGTCTGTAGTTTGGTTCAGTGAAACCTATGGGAAACTTGGCTTGGCCAGTGACAAAGTACACGTGAACCATACTGATAAAATTTATGGATTAATGAAGCCTGATCCAAACGCAAATTTCAAATTTGTCACGTGATCCCAGGTTGGTGCTAGTACATCATCTGTACCTGAATTTGACACTGGAAGATTTTGAGAGTGTTTTACAGTTCTAAAGTCATAAACATTGAGCCATAATTTGGTGTAAAGCTACTTGTGAACAACTGCAGAGAGTCTGAGAATGGGTGAAAGTGTACACCAGGAAAATTTGTAACGAAGCTCCAAATTCTGTCACAGCAAAGGGTGGAGATGGTGCTCAAGTAGAACTGCAGGTGTAGGAACAATAAACCATGACTACACTCACACCACAAATGGATGGGGATGTGTCTTCTTCACAAGAGGGATTTTGAACTGAAAGACTGTGTCCAGATACATGGTATCCAACAGGAGAACACCAGTCAACCACTGAGCACTGTGGAACACAATTTAAAAAGACCTTAAAAAGTGGGAAAAGATTAATTCCAGAAACACTAGCTCAGCTGGCATTGTAGCTTAGTAAGTTCTGTGCTACTGTCACACCAAAAGCCCACCTGACAACATTTCAGTTGGTTGTGTCAACTACAAACATGCTGCTGATGTCGACTGCAGCAGTATTTTGATCATGTGCAGGTGGAAAGCAAGTGTACCATGCAGATAATACAACAACTGTTCTTAGGTCTTCTGTACTTTGATCTGGTTTTATGTACATTATTTCTTAGGCTGATGTGACCTTTTCTGCTTCACACACATACTGCATTGGCATTTTAAGTGAGGGGGAAAAGTCATCAGCAGAATTTTTGGATCATGTACCCATTATTTGCTGGTGTTTTACTAAAAATGTTGGCAATTTTCCAGTTCATTAAGGTTCCTCTCAGATCTGGCTCTGCTGGTAAGAAATAAAGCTATTAGGATGCCAATAGTAAAACATTTAACCTAAATTAAAAAAAAAAAATAAAATCCCTACTGCTTACAAAATAGTAACATAATAATTATGGCTGAAGGTGGCTGAAGTAATTTCTAGTTCTAATGTATATGCATCTAAAGGAAAACTGTTCTGTCTCTTTAATTCCATAGAAGCTGTCTTGGTCAATTAAGTTACTGATAGCTAAAATGGTTTGTAACGTTTACTGTATTTGTTGTAAGCAAGGTATTAAAAGCTTGAGGTCTCAGCAGAGAAGGCCCTAGGAGAAAAGCAGAACTGACTTCAAATTAGAAAATAATTTCTCCCCTAAGCAAAATTCATACTGATTTATTTAAAACACTTCCATTCCCTTGCCATTCAAGGCAGAGGGTACTTTTAAGCAAGCATATTGTCATAGCTCAGCCAGCCTCCAGTCCTGCTGGCACGTGTGGGGACAGACATGGTGGTTCCCCGTGCAATGCTGCTTTGCCACCTGCATCACTCTGATGCAGATCCTGTGACAGTGAAAACAATGGAAGACTCTCACTGATTTGTGTAAGATCTGGGAAGTCTTTCCACCTAACAACTACTTAGATTACAAGAGATTTATAGGCTGCATTGTCCTATATGTTGTTCCCTGTGAACCCATTTATCTGCCCATGTGTTATGAATGCCGGCAGGGCAAGGTGGGTATCAACTGCTGCCATTCTGATTGGAACGGCAATTCATGCAAAACCACCACATCTATTCCGCACTGCAGAAAGCCTCATCTTTCTAGAAAGTTTCCTAAGAGTGCCTCCTTTTCCAGCCTCTCTTGCATTTGAGAGATGCATACCACAAACTACAAATGTGTAAACTGGCTGATAAGCAACCCCATATCTGTGCTGGCAATATAGACCTTTTACCTAAACACAAACTTTGAATGCTGAACCAAATTATACAATGTGCTAGGTGACCTTCAGTAAGTGTCAAGAAATTACAACTGCTCAGATGACCAAGAAGACTCGTGGAAGAGCAGTGGAGGCTCTAGCAACTCTGGAATGTTATGCATGCGATTGCAATAGCTGCATCTATGTTGTGGAGCGGTCACATTAGCAGCTGAAGATAAGTACTTCATCAGCACTTACACTAGTACAAGATGAGGACTGAGAGGCCTGGATGAAGATAAGTAAAAAGAAACAAGCAGAATAATGAAAATAAGCCCACAAATGTCACAATTACCTACTCCTCCCTATACAGAGCTGGTCAGTCCCCAAATATTAGGGTAAATTTCTGCATGAATTAGATCTATTACTTCAAGGTAGAGCAGCATTTGGGTCAGAGACACAGGTTTTCTGTTGCTATTGTTTCCAGGTTTTGCTTTGGGAAGGGGAAAATGCTGAGTTTTTAAACCGCCAAAACATACAGTGCGGAGTTTCAGCCAGTGCTAAAGATAGCATCAGAGTCCCCTCCATTGCCAGCACTGCTGGAATGAGGCTGTGTGAGAGACCTGAACCATGTCTGTCTGTCTGTGCTTTCTCTGTTGACGTATATTAATCCTAGCTGATCCTTACATGAGAACATTAAAAGAAAATATAAGAAAAAAGGAACTACCTTTGTGAAAAGTAGGAGACCATTCCTGCGAATGAACTGATCTGTGTAATACTGGGATTAGAGTCTGGCTTATCTAAAACTATTTACAAATCATCTTGAGACTGTTCAGGTTTAAGAGCTCTGTGTTTAAGTTACAGCAATATATATACAGTAGCAATATCACCAGTTATAAACAAAGCATCTACTGGTATAATGTGGACTCAACTACTGATGCATATATTGCATCAGCCTTCAGCAAATGAAACATTAAACAAAGTCTGTTCAGGAAGTCTTCTGTGGAATAAACAGAATACCCACAATCACATTTACTTCTTGTCCAATGCCAATAACCGAACTACAAGTATGTGCCTGCCTGTTTCTTTTATTTATAACCACTGAGCCAGGTTGCGTTTCCAGGCACAGCTTGTCAATTTTGCAAATTGTTGTCCTGATCTTTTTCATAGTTTTGAGGTTTTATAAACTTGTATAGAAACTGTTTACTTCTACTACCTTTCATTAGTAGGAAGTGGCCTACATGGAAATGTCTGGGCTTCAATTCTCCTACAGTTAGTTACCTTTTCTCCTTGCTCTTCTTCATGTTCCCACTCTCCCCTTTATCACTACTTACTCAAAGGGGTCGCTGGGATCAGCTCTCTGGAGCTCTGGAGGAATCGGTATTCTTTTGTAGTACATTTCCCAGTCAAAAGCTCCTCGCATGGCATCCCCCGCCTGTGCCTCGTAGCCAAAGTGATTGTGGTCAATGACATCGATCATAGGACACACGATGGTTTTGTGGTTAAGTGCAATCTGGTCTGAAAAATGAAAGTAGAAAATAGGAAATGGCATGTCTAGTCAAGCCATCTATCATATTACTGCAAAGTGAATCCCACGGGTTTCTGATGTTTGAAGATTGCTTGCTTTGTGCCCTATGGCCCCCCAAATAATTTAATTTTCAAATCTGTATCAAACTTTTATCTAAAGTGGAATTAAGGCAGTTGGGAAATGATTAGAAGTATTTACAGTTCTTTAAAGGGAAGGCATATCCCTGTGAGACCCACATGAGTCCAGTCATGTATATCTCTGTCACTTTGCTACTCTGAGCTGTCCCCAATCTGTCAGCTATGAAACAAACCAGCAACAAACTGTAAAAATACTCCTTCAGCTGTGGGGAGTGTGTATGGCAAGCTCCTGCAAGAGGGATTTGTGTTCCTAAATGTGAATCTCAGCCCTTGCAACCATTCAGCTACTGTTCCTATGACTGTAGTGTGCCATCAGCTTTGAGATCAAATGGTCCAAATCAAAGGCAAACTGCAACGAGAGCAAAACAGAGCTTGCGTCCTTTTTTGGTACCAATTTTTGATATATAAAGAAGGCTCCACAGTATTATTCTTACCTGCTTTCTAAAGAAATTAGTTTGGTTTTGCTTTTTTTCAAAGAAAAAAATGCTAGAACTGTGAGACTAAATCAAATTCTCATGTCTGGTATAAGCTCAAGGTGGTCTTCAATCTGCTTTGGTGAGTCCTATTGCCTAATCCTATAGAACTCCTCCAGAAAAAAAAAAAAAAAAAAAAAGGCAAATAAATAAGATGTGCCAACTGCAAGATCTAGGCAGAAGAATAATGGCTTGAAATTAGGAAGTACAAAGAAAATCCGAAAGGATTGACATGAAAAGACAGTAGAAAAACAACCGAAGAACACCTGAGAAAACTAAAATCTCAAAATTCCAAGCACAATAAAGCTTTTTCTCTGAACGACAGCCTATATCCTTTACATTATTCAGTTTATGTTAGGGCCTATGTGGAAAACTTGGGGGTTTTTTTAAGGCTTAGATTTCACTGGTGCTTGATAATACCATAAAAATAATCAGCGGATTGAACACTTAGAAAGGAAGGTATACAATAATTTTTAGTATAGCATCTGAGTTCTTATATTTATTCTAAGTTGCTGTTAAGAGACTGTCCAAATAAGGGATCAAGGCTGACTGCTAGTGAGAAATTACTGCGACTGGAAGTTCAGGAGGTTTTTACATCCTTATCCTTTAATAATGAAATAAATTTAAAGCACAGGCTCTCACAAAATTCTGGGAAACTCATCTCAGAGATAATGGCTGCATTACTGGTGCTATTCCAAATATAATTACATTCACTAGTATACTGTGTAGTGTTATCTGTGATCATTATATGAAGTCACTTCTACATAATCTCTTTCCTGTGATGGTCCTTCTAATAGTCATAGGATTTATAACAGTCTGTCTCTGTTCCCCCCCTTCTAAATTGATTGGAGGAGAGAAACTAAGTGGGATTGATTTGGCCAGAGCAGGTCAAAGGTGGACTCATAATGCTTTAGCATCTCTCTCTTCATCTTTAAAATCTGCTGTCTTTAAATACATTGAGGGATTTGAAGTCTCCTAGTCACATGCAGAGATAGTCAGGGAGAAATTTACTTGAGCAATGCTCAGACTCAATACCAGTCTTCATTTCTGCAACTCTCAAGAATTTTGCAAGTATGATGATGATTACCTGCCTGCTTCTGTGTGTTTCTGCAGAACTTACTTCTCAGCCCCCAAAATGTTTTAGAGATGAGGAACCGTGGGAAGATCTTGACTTTTGATGAAACCAGGGTGTTGTGCACACCAAAAAGCACAGTAACCAAAGTTGCAGCCTCAATGTTTCTTTCATATGGCTAAAATAATGAATTTTGCATATATACTACTTGGGCTTAAATGGAGCATGAATACAAATTTAGGAAACAGAAAAGAAGTCTGTAGGGCTACAGACTTATATTTCACAAGTATGCTGTTATCATAGCTTTAGAGATGTAAACATGCTGCTGCCTTTGCCAGCCGCTGCTCTTTACCCCACCTGCTTCTAATGCAAGACACCCAAAGACACTGCATAAATGCTTTACAATTTCTTTTCCATTGCCTTTATTTATACTCCTCTCACAAATTCCTACTGGTCTGAAAATGTCCACGCATTGTTTCAATGCATCTGTGCTGCAATTAAAGGGAAGAACAGACAGATAAGCATCACCGAACATGCAAAAATCTTGCAGAATTGAGGGAAAGCATAGGAAAAAGAGAGAACAATGCTCAGAGCTTTCTCTCTAGCAATTTTAAGCAATATATACATGCATATTTGCACTTTTAGTATCAAACAGAGTGTGCACACATGGCAATAAACAAGAACTTTTCAATATTGGATGAGTCACTATTTCACTAGGTTTTATCTTTATGAGAAAGATGCACCCCTTTAATTTCAAGTGCTTGTTTCAAATTGACCTGGATAAAGTAACAATGTCAAGTAGCAACTACTCTTATTTTTGTAATTTATGAATGCAAATACTGTTATTGTCCTACGTAAATATAAGATTACATATAATGACAACATTTGAGTGGATCAGCAAATTATGTCTTGTAATCTAAGGTGTCATAAGTACTTGTACCCTCAGTTTCCCCACTGACAAGCAATAGATCACATACATGTTGTGGAGATGGATGGCTATAGTGAGTGAGTGTTTTGTATCTTGCTAAACATAACCTAATCATGGTACATTTTTAATTCTTGGTCAGGAAAAAAATACATTTTAACAAACCTAGTTCTAGTACCCTATGGGACTACTGATCTATTGCCCATCTCTCTGCTTACTTCTCCTGCAGCAACATCAGGAGAAAGAAATATGTGCCTGTACCTTTCACCTGGTTCGCCATTCAGTTTCTTATCTGCAATAACTGACTTCACGCTGCACTAAACTGCCAACTACAGCAGCTAGAGCCCAAGCTACATCTTTCCTTCTGCTGACTTTATACTATGGAGGAGTGACAACAAACAGCTGTATTTGCCAGCCTTTTTACATCACTACAGCTGCCTACTCAGCGAATATGAGTCAAGTCTATCTGGTATCTCAGAATGTCTTATCTAAGTTTAACAGCCCTTTTAAGCTAAATAAACTAAATAAAGCTTAAAGAAAATAAAGACATTTTACACCAGTTTTTAAGAAAGCAAAACAAAGGACTGTAACTGAGAACAACTGTGGCTCAGCTCCACAGAGCCAGTTAGATACCCTACAAGTAATAAAATAACTCAGTTTTCCTTTGGTCTAAAAGTTGATAGTCAATTCTGAAAATATAAGTTAGGTCCCCTAAATAACTGTTAGAACCGTCTTTAACTGATAACTCTCAGTTTCTTCACCACCTCCCTGTCCTCTAACTTTCAAGGTCTCGTTTTAAATAAAACCTGGGCTGGAACAGTGGAAACCACTGCCCCTCTCAGTGAAGGCTGCCAGTCCAGAGCAGGGATGAACTGTGTTCTTGTTGAGGATTTTTCACTACACAGGGCAGAAACAATCAGAGCTAAAATAGGTCAGCTTCAAAGCAATAAACACCCAACATATCCTCTGTTGTGGTTTCCCTAAATGACTTTCAGTCACATGCAGTACCGAGTGAATCATAAGATAGATCTTCAGATAAACACTTGAAAATATACATTAACTTTACTATTATTAGCAGCCAGGTGTCATCTGATTTCAGTATAGTAAATATTTGCCATCTAATGTTTATAAGAAAGTTCTCTCATCCCTTTAGGAAAACAGGGCATCCTTAAATATACTACGTGTGTTCATTCTCTATTTGTCCTTCTTCGTGTAATGCTTTACTTTTTCTTTCAAAATATCTCAGTATTCCTCAAGATTCATTTCCAGATCCTCTGGCTGGTTGGTCGTCTCTGAGTATTTTACTATACATGGAACAAGAAAGATCTCATTCCACTTGAGAACTAAGGACTTTGTCACTGATTAAGTTTCTCTCATCTTTCCAGTTTTCTGGTTTGAAGATGAGGGTTAAATACCCAACTGCAACCCAACTGCAATTATGAATCCTGTGCCACCATTCTATTATTTTCCCAATTTTATAAGGTGAAACCTGGCTAGATGTATGGAATAGACTATCTGGAGCGAGATAACGCATGTGCAAGACAATCAGGGGACCAGGTCCAGCCAGCACGGGTTTATGAAAGTCTGGTCTTGCCTGACTAACTTATCTCCTTCTATAAGCAGGTGACTTGCCTAGTGGATGAGGGAAAGGCTGTGGATGTTGTCTACTTGGACTTCAGTAAAGCCCTTGATACTGTCTCCCACAGCATTCTCATGGAGAAGCTGGCAGTTTAGACAGGTGCACTCTTCACTGGATAAAAAACTGGCTGGATAGCCAGGCCCAGAGAGTGGTGGTGAATGGAGTTAAATTCAGCTTGCAGAAGGTCACAAGTGATGTTCCCCAGGGCTCAGTACTGGGGCCACTTCTTTTTAGCATCTTTTATCAATGATCTGGATGAGGGGATCGAGTGAAACCTTAGTCAGTTTGCAGACGACACCAAGATGGGTGAGACTGTCAATTTGCTGGAAAGTAGGAAAGCTCTGCAAAGGGATCTAGACACGCTGGATCAATGGGCTGAGGCCCTGGGGTCACAACTCCATGTAGTGCTACAGGCTTGTGGATGTGTGGCTGGAAAGCTGCCTAGAGGAAAAGGACCTGGGGGTGCTGGCTGACAGGTGGCTGAACATGAGCCAGCAGTGTGCAGGTGGCCAAGAAAGCCAATGGCATCCTGGCCTATATCAGCAAAGTATGGCCAGCAGGGCCAGGGCAGTGATCACTCTCCTGTACTGGGCACTCGTGAGACTGCACCTCAAGTCCTGTGTTCAGTTTTGGACCCCTCACTAGAGGAAAGGCATTGAGGTGCTGGAGAGAGTCCAGAGAAGGTTGGCAAAGCTGGTGAAATGTCTGGAGCACAGGTCTGCTGAGAAGTGGCTGAGAGGGGTTGTTCAGTCTGGACAAAAGGAGACTTAGAGGAGATCTTATTACCCTTTACAACTACCTGAAAGGAGGTTGTGATGAGGTGGGAGTCAGTCTCTTCTCCCAGGTAACTAGTGATAGGACAAGGGGAAATGGTCTCAAGTTGCACCAGGGGAGGTTCAGATTGGACATTAGGAAAAATTTCTTCACTAGTTAAGCATCAGAACAGGCAACCCAGGGAAGTGGTGGGCTCACTATGCCTGGAAATGTTCAAAAAATGCGTGGACCTGGACTTCATTATATTGTTAATGGACATGGTGGTATCAGGGGAAAGGTTGGACTTGATGATCTTGCAGGTCTTTTCCAATCTTAATGATTCCATGACTCATTTTAGAGAAAAAAAAAACAAGAAAAGGAACTGTTCTTGCAACTTGCAATTTTCTCATGTTAAAGTTTGCAAAATAGAAGGGTTACTGCTGTAACTTAGCAAAAGACTTTGGAGGACAAGAGTGAGAAGCTTATTGAGATTTTTTTTAATTTGTGGCAATGTATTATGTGAAGTGGGGCAAAAACAGAAAACAAAGGAAAGATGGCTGTATATGTAGAGTACTCTGGAGGGTTTAAGAGCTACTTGTTGGGGCTGCCTGTTGAAGGCTTGTTGAAACTTGTATTTTCCTCTGCTCCTTTATGCCATTTGTGCTTCACATGAAGTCATGGAGGTGGTTTTTAAAAATGCAGATATTGTAACTAAGGGCAAAGGAGTAACAGGGGGAAAGACTGTACGCATAATTTGATACAGAAACTAGAAAGTGTAAAAATTTGGAATTTTGTGCATTATCTTGTTATTGATCTGAAGAGAAACTGATTACTAGTACTTTTTTTTGGTCTCTAGTGATAGTTCATTAAGCAGAACAGCACATCTTGCCTGCAAATGCTTTATCAGCTTACTGTGTGGTCCAACAGTCCAAACAAGAAAATTCAAGAAATAACAACCATTAAGTGGTGAAACCATAACCTGTTCTGCACTTACAACAGACTGTTTTAATTAATACAAATTTCTTCAACAGGAAACTCAGAAATTTTCTTTGGTAAGAGTAGCAAAAAAAGCACTCACTTTGCAAAGCACATACACTTTGCATGTAATCAGGTGTGTAGAAAAGCAGACATTGTTTCCTGAAGTGAAATCCTAGACTACAATTAATTCTTTCCATTCCTTTGACTAATGGAGCTTTGCTGGCCACAGCTGGAATCCAGCAAAGCAGTCAATAGCAAATCATTCTTTCTGAGCTTCCTGTTGTGAATGCAGTTGCTACTGGTTTTAACACTAAGGCCCTGGATACATTTACAGCAAAAACTGTTTTTAACACAATGTGGAAGACTAGGAAGGAGTACAATATCCTACATAAGAAAACTTTTCTGGTATATAATAAGGACATAGCATAATACTAGATTTAGTAGTGTATTTAGTAGTATTAATAATAAAATAATTTGTAACTATATTAGGCCAAAATGATACTTCAAAATTTTACTCATTCTTTAGTCATAAGAAACAAAATGGAGCTCCTTACATTTCCCAGAGCTCTCTCTCATGATGACACTTAAGACACTGCAGCAGAACTTCAAACACTTTGATACAGTGTATGTCCTGTTTATTGTGGAACACAGCTTCAGTTGTTTGCTGTATGTTCTAATTTTAATGTCTGATGAACGCTCATACACTTACTAAGCAAGGGAGGCAGCCAATTCACGTTGACTTCGCAATGGGAATCCAGAAATGTCAAGACTTCTCCTCTAGCCAGTGAGGCTCCTAGCAGTCTGGTTCGAATGAGCCCTTCTCGTTTCTTGGTTCGTACAATCCTCACTTTGGCAAAACGGACCATGTATTCCTCCAGCTTCTCTTTTAAATGTTCTAGAAGGAAGGGCAAAAAAAGCGTCAGTGGTGCCAGGCCTGGAGGAACCAACAGAAGGACAGGTTGGCATACAACCTGCAAGCAGCTTATCTACTTTCATCTCTTGTCACTTCAAGTCCTCCAAACTGCCACAAATCCTCCCTGAGGTGGTTCAGTGTTTTATCACACAGAGGAAGACACTGACACTCTGCTGCAGTTGCTACTGGCAACCTGCCATCCACGATATAATGGCCAAAACAACTGCAGGATATTCATCTATCCTCTCGTTCCTGCAGCCCAAGGCCATATAAACATTCTGGCATGCTGTTTTAGAAACAGTGTCCTTTCCAAATGGGTCCCCTATATCAACTAATTATGAAGCACTATGCATGGAAATAAATTTTAAAAAGCAAAACTAGAATGATTATGTTGGTTTTGCAATGGGAAGAGAAACAGATAAGAAGAAAGATCTTAATAGTTGGATATCAGCACGAAGCACATAGACAGCTGACTTCCTAGTAAAATTAAGCTGCAAATGTAGAATAGTTGATAGGTTCTCTGATCTGCAAAATCTGGCTCTGTTTGTATCACAAAACATCATCTTTGTGAACATTTTTTTCTTCTGACTAGAAACGCACTAAAAATCATAAAAAACCCAACAACAAAAAACACCCTATAGTTTAACCACTTCCTAAATACATCTACAACACAAATCCTGATCTTTGGTTTTTGCTATAACACCTCAGCTCGCCAGACTCATTACTTTAGAAAAACATGATAACTTCATTTGTCAGGGAAAAAGGCAGAGAAAAGCTTAGTCTCTGGTAATTAAAACTGTTGAAAAGCCACATTTACGGATTCAAGGGTTTGCAAGCTAATTCTCACTGAAATGGCTTTGCCAGGTTATGATTGTTTCTCACATTAGTTACTGATTCTTTGGACTTTTAGGGACAGCACAGGCCTTGATCCAGACATTACATCATTACAGACTGCAAGAAATCCAAAAGGACTGCCACATAGCAGTACTCTGGAGTACACTGGAGTACATGTGGACTACAGGCAACGAGCAAACAAGTCATGGTGCAGACAATACAGGATCTTGTGTGAAAATAAAATTATGCCCCACTGAAGTAGAGCTCCCTGCACATGCTTCTTATCTCTTTCCTGTCCTGGCTGACAAACATGTAAGACTCTCCAAATCTACCAGCAGATTAGGAAGAAGTAGAACACCGACGTATAGTTATATGTATTTAGTGGGAGAGTACTACATGGGATGCTCCTCTGTACTGAGGAATCCTGATGCATGCTGGCACAGAAGAGGGATGCAGGAACATCAGCTTGCAAGGATTACAGAACAGGTTGGGCCTTTTGGGAGGAGAAAGTCAACACTTTGGAGATATGCTGAGTCAAGAGAGTGGTTTGTGTTCATAGTACTGCTCAGGAGAAGTATTAGATCATGTGAGGAAAGCCAAGATTGGGGGGAGGGGAGAATGATATTCAGATAAACAGAAAATGGTTTTTGGTTTTCTACTCTGTGGTTGACCATAGAATATACATTTAACTTCTAAAATATGAAGGAAAGAGGTATCCCTTTTTCCATCCCATTTCACTGTTTCCATACTCAGTAAAAAACCAACACAATCCCTCAGCAGTCACAATGTCAAGAGATGTTTTGTGTCCTGAATGGTGGGCTTTTGTATGACCAATCATATTCACAGGACAAGGCCTGTGTGCTACTCTGACTCATTTTAGGTACCAGCTACAATTCAGTATTGTGACTGAACTGAGGTTAATTCAAGTCTTGGATCATTTTGTGCCCACAGGTAAGACAGTTTAAAGTGTAGATTTATTGAACTGTTTTCCTGTTTTTATGAGCTCCATTGAGACTATTCCCTTGGTGCAGGAATATAGAAGAAGGGAAATAAACCTTAAAAACAAAGATATAAAGACCTTGCATGTAATGTAAGAAAGTCTTTTAGGGCTGTCAGTCTGTATTTTTTTCTAGATTGTAAATTGTATCATCTAATAGCCATGAAAAATGAAACAGCTGCAAAGTGACAGGTTATTACATATTTCCAAAGTGAATCAAACCTAATCTGTTAGGTACCATAGCTTCTGTTAGTCCTCAGACACCAGAAATTTCCTGCATTTCTCTAAGGTCATCTAACCCTTCTCCTTTGACCTCTTCCACCCACAAGTCTTAAGTTTGCACTGAATAGTGCATAGAGACCTAGCACCAAGAGCAAGACCACACTGCTGTGCACTATACAGACAAGTCATAAAAAGAATCAGGTTACTCAGCCTGAACACAGCTCTCCAATTGTGGAAGCGAGCACTAAATGCCTTGGCTATAGCGCAAATCCCCCATCATCACCTGCCTATCCTTAGAGACTCCAGTTGATCAGAGGATAGTTCTGAATTTGATTATATATCAGATACAATTACTTTAGTCTTCCACATGAGCTGCTTCTAGGCAGTTTCTCTCCTTATATGTGAAAGGCAGTTATCAAGAAAGCACCTAAACTCTGATGGAGAGAAGCAGGAGCCTTACTCGAACAACCCAAATTATTTGTGGTATCACTTGGCTCTCTGTTGCCTGTAGGCACACCTGAATTGGACATTCACTAGTTAGGTGTCCCAAGGGTTAAAGTAAGGCCCTTTCAACAGGTAGTTTTGAATATGGCCACCACTAATGTTTAAATGAACTAATACAAACACATTCTTTTCATGTATTCCAATTGTTAACATTTGTCTTGGGCCAAATTAATTCAGTGAAATTCAGTCTTTTATAAAGGACTTAATTTCGTTCTTTTCACATCTTGCAGTGAGCCAATTCTGAAAGCTTGAGTGCCTATCTTTTCAGGAAAACACTTGAGAATAATATGATGCAAACTCTCATATTATGATACATTCTTTTTTGTTCTTATATCAATTGCTAAATAACAATGGAGTTGAATAATATGATTTGATTGTCATCAGTTGTATTGGAGCTTGAACTCCATGAAATCAATGGTAGTTCACACTGTTCTTTCATTGCTTTATATTCCTTACAAACTCAGGAAAAAAGTCTCTCAAATTTTAAACCTTTTTTTTTTTTTTTTTTTTTTTTTTTTTTTTTTTTTTTTTTTTTTTTTTTTTTTGGTGAGAATAATATCTGAAATTCTGTGGAGCAAACAAGAGCTCTGTACCACCTTCCTCCCTCTCTCTCACATAGCTCTTCACACATTTGAGACAGCATGTCACCTGATTTGTGAAGAACTGCATTAAAACATCCAGCACATCTTTTGATGTCAGAAACACATATCCCAAAATTGTTTTCATCTACTCAGTAAGTTCCATAACTGAATAATTTTATTATTTTCTCCCTGTTGCTCAAAGAATAAGTTGCAAAAAAGCAGTATACAAACAAAATTTGCACACCTTGTTTACACAGAATTCTAAATGCATCCTCGTTTAGACATATCTAGAAGTAGTCAGGAAGAAAACAAAACTAATAAATGGTAAATTTTATAGAGCTTATTTAGACAAATGACATTAAAAGACTGGGTCTGCAAACAAATCAACATATATAGATTACTAGAGATATATAAGGTATTAAAATTTTATAAAACAGTTACTTGTTAGTAATATCCTAACCGTAAGTCACAATATAGTCAAATAGATGCCTGTAGCAATACCTACTGTATCTTTAGTTTTCAGATATAGCAAGGAAGGCAGTTTGGTAATTTATTTAAGTTCAATGACCAACTCCAATATGGTTCTGAGCATGAAAAGATTTTTAGAGGGAAGGAAAAAAATTGCCTTTTGGATCCATAAGTAGAAGTGGTGGATTCACCATCCCTGGAGGTTTTTAAGATGAGGCTGGATGTGGGACTGAGTGCCATGATCTAGTAATCACAGTGGGATTGCATCAAGGGTTGGACTTGATGATCTCAGAGATCTCTTCCAGCCCAGTTAATTCTATGATTCTAACAATTTTTTAAACTTAAATCAATATGAAAGTGCTCTCATATTGTATTTTCTCCTGCAATGTCTTATAGAAATATCTGTTTTGAATGTTACCAACCTCTAAAAGCATAAACAAACACAGAATAAGAGCCAGTGACAGTAGGACAGTATGTAGACAGTAGGAATTTTAAAGAAAACTGCAGTGTTTTCTACTATTTTATAAGTAGTGAAAGCATATCTTTCATGTTGAAGCACTCATTAAATGCACTTGGTTTTACTTAAGACTCTTTAAAGCAAAATGGTAAGTCTTAAGGACCTGCAGTCAGCAGCTGGCTTTAAAGGTTAACTACTTAATACAAGAGCCTCTCTTTGAGCCAAGTGTCATGACATACATGCTCTGACAAAGACAATAACTGGGAATCTCACATCTCACCTGTTGCTTAAAATAGACTAGACAAGATTTTTAAACTCTCCGTATGGGAATAAATATGATTAACATGATCTCGGTGTTTGTGATCACTGACAAATTTTTTTTCTTAGTCTTGTATTTTGCCAAATATATTAAAGTATACTGCCCCTTTTCACAGAATTTCATAAATTTCCTTTACAGAACACCTAATGATATTTTATTTCCTAGAGTACAACTGCATTTTCTCACAGATTCCAATTATCTTGTTGCTAATATTATCTCCAGAAGAAGCATCTCACACACAAAACCTGTATATTACACACATACATTTACATGTGAGTAAACTCAAGTGCACAAGTAAACACACATGAATCAATGTCAGTGCAAACCCATAATTCTGAAGAAATTCTTTAAGAAATGATAATGCAGTGTGTAAAATAGAAAACAACCTGTAATAAAAAGACCTTTAAATGTCCAGGGGACAACATTCTGCCCATTTATTATCAAAGGAAGCAGTTCGAGCAGGTTTGCCATGACAACAGAACAGGGAGGTAGGATGGTTTAATTTATATGCTGTAATATTACATAAATTCCACTTTCAGAGCTGGGCATGAGAGAGAAGTCAGTATTTAAATTCTGCAGTGAGCTATAAGGGGTACCTTT